TTCGTATATTTTATTTATTGTTAGATTATATTTGACAAATGCTATGCTGAGCTCTAATAATCTAATTGAATCTAGTAGTGAAAAAGTAGTCAATGTATTACTATTGCCTTCAATATCAATTATAAATAAAATTGTGATTATACTCCTTTACTTCATATTAATACAGAAAATTTATTTGCAATAGAGAAAAAATAATTTACCTTCTTGTTTTCTATTTGTCGTGGCACTTTTATAATTTTGTGTGCTTTATATTCTTTTGCATAACGATTTGGTCTATTTAATTTTAATTGGAAAAATTAATTGTAATATATGTGTGTTATAATTAATTGGATATAATAATATCGCATCTTTCGCATATATCGTATTCAAGAAAATATATGTTTTTACGAAAACTCCAAATTATTAATTTTCAAATTATTATATTATTAAATTGTGTGTATACTGCTAACTTATGCGACATTTTACACATTTTCCATTGTATATAATACGCTTTTTTGTACAATATATTCTTTCCTTTTATTTTTTTTGCCCTCTCTTCGGGGACTCATTACAAATGCATTATCTTTCGATACGATAATGCGTACGTAAAACATTATAAAGTGCAGAAAACAAGTTTCGAGCATGAGCTCGCAAAATTGAGATACAACATATGTTATTGTCATTGTCATGTTATTACCAATTCTTCTATTTATGGCTTTTTTTTTCTCTCCCTATCTATGCTCGAAAAGTTTTGTTATGAAACGTAGAACTGCTATCAACTAGGGAGAGCATTTGTAATATTTAATGCATCTAGTAGAGAGGCACTTGCACTTATGTCGCGAGCATGCGTAATGATCATTTTATACCGCAAAGTGGGAAAAACTCCTCTTCACGTGTTAGTCTTCGACATGGACATTTCAAGATCTTCGGGATACAGAGGTATTACATATATCATATCATACATCTTTTGCTTCTAGTGTGTTTCACGTTCTAATATGTACGTTTTTGAATTGACATAATATTTCATCACAAATAATAATTTATTTCTGTCACATACACATTTCTTTTGTGTCAAGATATCAATCTTCTACGATTAGATAACGATTTACGTGTAATTATATTTTGTTCAAGTCTTTTATTTATGAAATTAAAGAGAAAACATTGTTAGATTTCGTGTGGGCAGTTGAATTACATCGCTTGGGTTTGAAACTGATCGGTTTATGGCCTAAGACCGAAGTTGTGAAGAAAAGTCACGGATCTGACATTCGAGTGGGTCTCGTCTTTCTTATGGTGATAATTGTCTCCGGTGTTCCCCTTATATGGGCGCTTATGCGAGTTTGGGGCGATATGGTGCTTATGATAGACAATTTGCGAATTACATTACCTCTCATAGTGGTTTCGATGAAATTTATTATTATGCGATGGAAACGAACAGGTATAAGCTGGACTCTATTTGTGATGTAAAATCTAATCTTGCATTTTTTTTTTCTTCATCGAATCGTGTCATGGGTTTTATCGATTTATTACTAGAACCATATTGGATTACGATTTCGAAAAAATCAAGAATTATTAATGATTAAAAATTGTAACATATATATACATATCAAAATAAATTAAAGTATCAAGAGACACGGTAGTGTCTCGCGCCAAGTTCACGCAAAGCAGCGAGGCACTCCGGGTATCTATACGTGAGTCGGTCAGTTGCGAGTACCTTAGATTGTCGGACCTCGATAACGGCTGAACTGATCGTATTTTTAATAGGCTTAATTGACAGCTTGAGTTTGAATTATATAATGAAAATGTCTTTATTTTTTAAAATATACACGCGAGATTTTTTCTTTTTTTCTTTTGAAAATAAAAAAAAACTTATTAATTTAAAATCTTTGCATCCAAACACTATTGTATACTTTTTTATATTTTCAAGTTTTGTTAACCATCGTAAACACAATGGCGGAAGATTGGATTGCGTTAAAGTTAGCCGCGGAGAGGGATGTGATGATAAGGAAAGCACGAATCGCACGCTTATTCGTAATCTTCGGATACGTTATAATGATATTGGCATTTGTCATGCTAATCATTCTTCCTTGTTTTGGCATACAAATCAGGCACCTAACGAATCTTACGGATCGGAACAAACCGTTACCGCTGCAGACGTATTATTTCTACGACACAGATCAAAGCCCGCAATTTGAATTGACATTTCTTGTTCAAGTCATAACGATCTCTTTAGCAGGTATAGTTTACACGTCGGTAGATGCTTTCTTGGGACTTGTGATCCTTCATATCTGCGGCCAGTTGGAAAACTTTAGGTACCGAATGGTCAATTTGGTCTCGTGTAAAGATTTCAACAATGCTCTCAGTAACAGTGTGGTGACTCATTTACGACTCATCAGGTGTGGCTATTGAAAATGGTATCAATAGAATGTTACAATTTCAGCAAAATCTCTAAAAAGAAAAATCAATTTTTCTTTTGAGAGAGAGAGAGAGAGAGAGAGAGAGAGAGAGAGAGAGAGAGAGAGAGAGAGAAATAAATGCTAAAGTATAATTACAATATCAAAGTATCTTTGATCGATGATTGTTCAATATTCAGTGTTGGATATTGTGCATGTTATTGTTTTTCTCCACTTAATTTGTATTTTTTAAGTTTGTGCATTCAGTCGTTCGTCGAAGAAGTTCGATGCGTGTACATATTTTTACTAAAAAATGTCCAACTAAAAATTTAATAAACGATATCTCGGATCAAAGATATTTTATATATGATCTTTTGGTGTTTTTAAATGCGCGTATAAAATTTTATTGATTATAAGATGGCATTACTTTAAACATTTACAGACAATACTTATAGGTTTGCTGATAACATTGAAGATACGTTCACTTTAATGATGCTCGGATTGTTACTCTATTTTGGTATTGTGTTTTGTTTATGCGGTTTCTTGTTGCTTAATGTGAGTTTTATACCACGGGTATATTTTAAAATGTCAAAATGCGTTTTAGTTTTCTTTCTAATTTTCTAATTTTTTCCCAAAGTCCGTGATACTTATTTTACATTTATTTGTTTCTATTAATTAGTGAGATGTATTATTCAGGTGGTCTCTGACAAAAAAATAAGTAATGCGGGTCTTCCACAAGCATGCTACATGGCAGTTGCTGCTCTCATTTTATTATCGCATACTTTTCTCTATTGCGGTGCCGGTGAGCTTATAACACAGCAAGTAAGTCATATATTTATATACGAGAGTAAATCAGATATATTGATATGAATAAATAAAGTAAATCATATATTTAAATAAATTAGTATAATATAAATTTATACAGCTTTGTACATCTCTTGTAGTCAATTAATATTTCATATTATATGTTCATAACTGCATTAATAAAATTTTTATATATTACAATTGTGTTTGTCATTTTTCGTACAAATTTCAAATTTAATGTCACATTGCTAAGAAACTGTTGAAACTCATATTGTTACACAATTTGTAAGGCCATTTATATAAATATTAATTAAAATTATAAATAAATATTAATATTAAATCGTTGATTGAAGTTGTTTATCTATTTCGTTGGATGGTGATATAAAATCAAAAGTAAAGTTTAATTAATTTTTATTAATGTTTATGAGAACGGCTATACTCTGAAATATACATGATGATATTCATGTGGATGATATTCATATATCGTTATGTGTATATTTGTTAAGTGTAATGCAGTATATCGTGCAGTGTGCGATCTTGAGTGGTACAACTTGGAGTCGAAAAAGGCGAGGAATCTTATTATATTAATGATACGAATCAACGAACCCTTCCGTATCACTGCGGGAAAAATTGTTCCATTAACGATGACCACCTTTTGCAGCGTAAGATTGTCTCTAATTTCATTTACGTTTTCCGTCTGCATTCTTAAAAATTGATTACCTTTCATATTAGACTTTTTGGCCAAGAAAATATCGTCTAATTATTAATCTCAATTTTAACATATGTTGCGTTGTTATAAACATGATATGAAAATACAGTCAACATTAGTGTGCAAAAGTTTTTCTTTTTTAAATGTATATATTTTGTGTACTTTGTGTTTATAATATATTTGTAATTAAAAACATATTTATTTTTAGTTACTGAAAACATCAGCTGGCTATATATCGTTCTTATTGGCAAAGCAGAGTTGAAGATAGTATACATATCAAAAGTAATAGCGATATTATTATTCATTAATTTTTTTTCGAAGAAAAGAATATATAGAACATATATTTCCAATTAGATATATATTACAATACGGATAGAATAAAATTGTATTTAGTAATTGTTGCAATAGAAATAAAAGTTTAACATTGTTAATTTCTCTCTCTCTCTCTCTCTCTCTCTCATTGTATTTGCTATATTTATGATAATTTATATCATTATGTATTGTAATATGTGACAGCTTGTATTATCTGTCTCATTAACAGAACTCAATATGAACGCGTTGCATCAGAACATTAATCATTTTATAAAATAATTGTTGGCGCATTCTAAATTGTTGACAAATATGTCATATAAAGTCGTAATTTTTACATTATCTAGAGCAAAGCAGGATTTCATTGAGAAAAAATGGATGGCGCGAAGACTCACGTGAGAAACTCCGATATACTACGAAACTACTCCGAAACTACTCATAGCTACTTTTACTGTCAAAAAGATAGCTATGAGATATTTATTACAGCTCGCACTTGATATGGTAGCACCGCATTCATCATGTTTTTAACAAGTATGTCCTTTGCCACGGACATTTGAAATGCACATATATTTGACATGTACGTATTACAGTTCACTTGATACAGTTTACTTGATGCGACATTATACCTTCTTCAGGATCTTATTTTCTTTTTTTTTTGTTTCAGTTTTTGTGTTTTCTATACAGAAAACTTTTAGCGCTACGTAACATGTAATTACATGCCGTTATTTCTCGTTACAAAGTACGAAAAAACTTTTAAAACAAGTTTGATATATTCCCGATGTATTTCACCGTAATATCTCTCTCGTCTTATTACATCAGATGGTGACATTTTTTGTAACTTATTCTTATGTTCATCAAGTAGTCTTATTACGAGAAAAAAATTGCGGTCAACTATGGGAAATAGCATTTTTAATATTTAACGCGTGTTCTTCGATAAAACAGCCAAGCTGCAGTACTCGCATTACAAGCATGCGTACTGAGCATTGTAAAGTGGCAAGAAGAGGGAAGATCTCCTTTGTCGTATTCATATCAGTCTACAATATGGATGTTTCAAAATCCACAGGTTACAAAGGTATTAACTCAATAACGTACTATGTATCTTTCGCTCATAATATATACGTGTTTTATATATATATATATATATATATGTATCTTATGTTGTAATAATTTTCTAAATTGGAGTATAATGTTGCATTACAAATACACATGTAATATTGCATTGCAATTTTACGCGCTATCGCATTTCTATTACCTTTTGGCAAGATTATCCTTTATACAATTCACATGTAAATTTAATTATTATCGCCATCCTCAAGTTTCTTAAAAAGATTACTTTGCCAGATTTCGTGTGGGCGGTTGAATTAAATCATTTAGGTTTGGGATTGATCGGCTTGTGGCCTACAACCAATAATGCCGTGAAAAGAAGGATTGAACTTGACATTCGCGTGGGTTTTATTCTCATTTTGATGATATTTATTTCCGGTGTTCCGTCTGTATGTGCGCTTGTGCGTGTTTGGGGCGATTTGGAGTTAATGATAGACAACTTACGAATTACATTACCTTTATTCGTAGTTGCGCTGAAACTTGTTATTATGCGATGGAAACAAACAGGTATGTCTGGACTTATTTGTAAAACGTATGGTTTTACATTTTGTTTCTTCGTCAAATATTATTCCGATTTGTTAGTGCAGTATTAAATTATGATATTACACACAAGTAAGGAATTATTTATAATTTATTTGCACATTTTGCATATATATATGTGTGTGTGTGCGTGTGTATCGATGATTTTTTTTGATTCATTAACTTACAAACAGCTATAATAGCTGTATAGTTTAACATTTTTATACTGCCGATTTAATTTAATTTAATTTTTTTCAGTTCTTTCATCCATATTAAACATGATGGCGGAAGATTGGATAGTGTCAAAGCTAAGCGCTGAGAGAAATATAATGATGAAATATGCGCGGACTGCTCGATTATTCGCAATTTATACATATGTTGTGACGGTATCTTCGTTCGCTTTGGCCATCATTCCTCCATGCGCTGGTCTACCATTCAGATATCTGACAAACCTTACAGATCGGAACAAACCATTACCGATACAGACATATTATTTCTATGATACAGATAAGAGTCCACAGTTCGAGTTGACATTTCTTATTCAAGCCTTAACGATACTGCTGGCTCTATTCGTCTATCTGTCGGTAGATGGTTTTCTTGGACTCGTCATTCTTCACGTTTGTGGTCAATTAGAAAATTTAAGACATCGATTAGCCAATTTGGTCTCAGGCAAAGATTTTGACAGAGCACTGAGTGGTAACATTACGATACACATAAGAATCATTAGGTGTGAATTTTGATTACAACAAGAAAGTTTTAAATAGCAGAATTATTTGATTTTTGCATGAGATTTTTGATATTCAAACATAAAGCTCGTTTTTTTCGTGTATGGTTTAATTATACAGAATATTATACTCAATGATATTTGAAATGCTTTAAAACTCATTTTTTATTTTTGTTTCTTAAGAGCTACATTATATAATATTAAATTTTCTTTAATTTATATCTATAAGTTATATTTTTAGATATAATATTTTTCTTTATATTACAACGCGTCTATACATAAGATACATTTCTTTTTATTTGTGTTTTTCTCTTTATCCAAAATTTTATTTAAAACTTTTTAAAAATTATTTATTGAAAATTATATTTAATAAAACTTTTATTAAAAATTATAAACTTTCTCTCCAACTCGTAGTAGAATTTCCTTTCTGTAAATTTAATATGTTGCATTATAATTGATTAAAATATATTTTATTAAATAGTTGCATTTCTGAAGCATTTCATTCATCGAAAATTTATTTGCAATTGCTTATAACGCACGAATTTTTTATATCCATATATTATTATCAAAAAGATATCCAAGTAGAAAATTAACAAACAATGCAATATTATCTAATTATTATGTATATATATAATTTTTTTAATGTTACACATGTATATAGAATTTGTTTAATGTCTTAATTACTGATTTTATTGTTATATTTTTTAAACTCGAACCCGTACTTAGGTTTGCCTATAACATCGAAGATATATTTACTTTTATGATGCTTGGATTGATATTATATTTTGCTATTATATTTTGTCTATATGGATTTCAATCGTTAATTGTAAGTTTCATTAGTGCAAATTTATTAAGAATATTAAAAAAATATACCCAATTTATTTTTAAAATAAAAAATTAGGCAATATATATTTGCACATTATTATTATTATATTCATATTAACTTTTACATTAATTTTTGATCCAGATCTATTATTCAGATGATTACAGAAGGAAAAATAAATGATGCGGGTATCTTACGAGTAAGCTACATAGTATTTGTTGTTGTAATTCTATTTACACAAATGTTTCTCTATTGTTATGTCGGAGAGCTGATAACAGAAAAAGTAAGTTACATATGTATGAATGTAATGATAAATGTTCATGTTAGTCTAACACTCGCTGATAACATGACAAGATGATTTTGATCTTGACATATATTATCAAGATTACGATTCTGAGTAATCCCCCCAAAAGATCTTAGCTGTCGTTTATTGTTTATGTAAGTAGTCGGGAAAGAATATGGCCTCTGCATTTGCTATTTTTTACGGAGAGCAAAATCTTTATATTATCCGATGCTTTAAGTGCAAAACGAAATTGTATGATTTTACATGGGTTTAAGACTTTTTTCGCGCGGTATCGAATATTAGACAGAAATTTATCATGTAATGATAAATATGATCATGTAATGGTAAATTTTTAAATCTAATGTAAATTTTCCATAAATTTTCTTCTAACTTTTATTAACGTGGAAACAATCTAATCTTTGAAATAACATAATTTTCATATATTATTGTATATATATTTGCTTAGTGTGAAGAAATATATCGTGCTTTATGCGATCTTAAGTGGTACAAACTGGAATCGAGTCAAGCGAAAAATCTTATTATATTAATGATACGAATCCAGAAACCTCTTCGTCTTACTGCAGGAAGAATTGTTCCGCTAACAATAACTACTTTCTGCAGCGTAAGATTATTAAACATTTTTATTTTAACTACTCTTTGCAGCATTATATATATATATATA